GGCGACACACCCAATGGGAGTTGAGTGCGGTCCAACGGTTGTACACTGCAGGTGAGACAAACGTCTGCCTAACTGGATCACTTCTTCAAACGGTGCTTTGTGTTAACAACGTGCACAGAAGACTGAATGTAGACTGAGGTGGACACGAGAGTGTTCGGCAACGCTTACCAAGTGGGTACAATGATGGCTAAAAGCCTCTGTATCTACTTTCAGTGCTGGTGTCGGTCGAACGGGCACGTTTATGGCAGCTCGCTTTCTCCTTGATCGTCTGCGAACGAATCCACAGAATGTGGACATCGTTGGGACCGTTCTGGCGATGCGAAAGTGGCGTGCCAACTTGGTGCAAGTTTGGGTGCGTTATCTCCCTCCACTCCACCTTCGTGTTGCACGTTTGTCTACGTTCTCTTATTCCCCATTCGCTATTGCACTTTTAGTCACAATTACAATTCCTCTACAACTTCATTGACTTCTGTCTTGGCAAGGAGAATCTTTGCATGAAACCATTTGCACCGGTAACAAGACCCCTACCAGTGACACCGAGTAAGGAGAAGGATTTGATAACCTTTGACGCGTTTAACAATGTATAAAACCGAAGGGCAGTAGGCTAGATTTTACTAACTAGCATCGGAAAAAACAGTGACCCGTTTCGCGAGTATTCTGATTCTCGTAGAGGAGTCAAGCAATTCCATTAACCACAACTTTGTGTTCTCCTTTGCTCACAGCTGGCGAGTATCAGAATAAAGGGGAAACTCCTCAGGCAGAAACAGTGGAACGTAAGTTGGCATTAATAGTACCCTTTTGATTGGTAGTTATGCGAAATTAAGTGCTGAATTTGGGGATGCTGGTCATTAGTTTCGAGTTATTTTTAAGTTCCATATGCTGTGCTCTCGCCTAATGTCATTACTTTAGCAAATGAAGAAGCTAATACTGTAAGAGTAGGAAAAAAATCTTTCGCCCGGCCTATCTCATGGAAGTCTGGAAGTCTTTAGGCATGGTTAGAAAGGCTGTTGTCAAAGTGAAGGCCTGAAGCGAAGTCGACCAAATAGTCCGTGCAATTAAATGTTCAATTTGAACTTGTCAAATGGTTGCGCTTCTTTTGTCCTCTCTCCTGTGTCGTTATCCTTGTCCACTAGTCGCCGTCTTCCCCTGTGGCCCCCATGGAAAGATGATATTTAAACGTTTATGGTGGTAAGAAGACATTTGGTTTCTACAAACTGACATCACCGCTGCACAGATCAGTTTGTTTTTAAAATGCAGTATGGGAAAAGGTGTTGCTGAATTACTTCTCTTTATGACTGCGCGATGCTCCACGAAGCCTGCATTTCGTCTGTCAATTAGCTTTTGTAAGCACACTTGCCTAAAAAGGAATCATTACACTTGTCTTCACACAATGCATACCATGTGCCTACCTTTTCTTGCCACTTTATTCGCATTCCAATGTTGCTACTTCAACTCGATGGTGTCCCTTCCCTTCGAGCCATATTTCAGGCACCTTCTCACAAATACGTCAACAATATTATGAATTGCGTTTTTAGATTGTGGTGTCGCTTTGCTTTTTAAGTACTTTCTACTAGAATACCACCGTAGGTAGTCGTGGCTCCAATGGATAAGCGTGTTCTGTTGTTAAACCATGCCACTTCAGCCATCCGGTGCATTCGCCTTCCTCTGTGACATTCACTGTGATTATCCGGTGTCGCTTTGGAGATTGAGTTCCCCAACAGCCACAATTAATGTGGCACCCAAAAGATAAAGGAGGGCAAACTGATTGCTAAAGTGGAGGAGAGTCGAGGGTCGGGTACTACTAGCAGATTCAGAAATTCTGGCCACCACCGAAACCACCGAGGTTAGGCGGAACTCACAGCTAAATGCTCAGTTAAACGAATTCAGCTATGTTGCTGATCATTTTTGACCTGATCAGTGGAATGGACTGAAATATGCTTGGGTCGAAGGATTTGTTCAAATTACAACAGGTGGAATGATTCCTGCAAGAATATTAAGTGATATGTTTTTGTTTTCCGTTTTTTAGCTGCACCTCCTCCGCTACCACCAAAGAAAAGCGCATGGTTCCTTGTAGATTGAAGTAACGTCGTGTTATTATTAATAACTGTGATTTTTGATTGTGCACACATTTGACCTGATGATGAAATGGGTTGGAGATGTGAATATCCGACTGGATTTTGTGCCTTTGAACTGCTTGCTTTACCTTGTCGTGACACAGGGAGGGGGGGGGGGCCAATTCAAGAGTGGGATGCGCTTAGAAAGAATGCTCTGAACTGTTGTGCCCGCCATTCACGTTGACATTTTAAGACTCAAACCGGTAACAGTTGTGAAGAAACATTTGCTGAAGAAAGTATTCCATAGGTGGAAAGAAAAAAAGGTATTTTTTTTCTGTACTTTTTACTAAGAAAATAATTAATCTCGCACACTTAGAAATGAACACACCTACTTGAACTAAGAAATTGTTCGTCACTTTGGATGTGTCTCTCTGCTAATTTCCAAGACTGAATGCTTTTATCTAATTTATTTAGTATTTGAGTAGTACGAACACGGCTTAGTGGTTGACAACAACAAATTCAGCGTTTCTCCCTTCCACCTCTTCTTTCTCATCCTTGGAAGGTGTGGGTTGGTTGGGGGAAGATCTTTTAGTGAATAAGTGTTATGTGGGTTTGAAATCCGTCTCCTCCTCAAGTATCAGTGGCGTACCCTGTCGGGAGTTCTACGTATGCTGTAAACTCCTCATTTACAATGCACATTGAAATAAACACCCACTACGCAACGAGTCGGTTGGGGATTTCAAACGCCCAGTTTTCGATGTGCTAATTTTGTCATTCCATCATGAATGTGCTGCGGGGAGTTGACCCGTCTCCACCATCACATCTGCATCAGGTCATGACCTCATGTAGGCAAGACGCGAAGTTCCCGAGAATTTGGTGAGCAGGCTACGGGGAGATCAAGCTTAACTAAATTTTTTGATAA